AGCGGGAGAGTGGAAGGAAAGAGGCTGAGGCCCATCAATGGGACTGAAGCAGTCATGAGCAAGCCATGCCCAGGAGCCATTCTCCTGTCCATTGCTGGTGCTGTGTTGCTTCAGGCACGCTGAAATGCAGTCACCTCTAGGGTGGGCTGGATAGCTGTTTTAACACTTGCACAAGGTTTCAGGCAGGGGGCAGTGCAAGCTGCCTTCCTGCGGAGCCCCCATCAGAACTACTGTGCCCTCCTGGCTTAGGAAAAGAACAAACAGGAGGACTGGAAATTAATCCTCCCAGTCTCACGTCCCCTAGGCAGGGAATGAGCCATTTACATTAGGCCCCAGCTGGAGTCCAGTTCTGGGTGCCACATTTCAGGAAATGTGTAGAGAAACTGGAAAAAGTCCAGAGATCAACGTAAATGATGAAAGGTCTAGAGAACATGAGATATGAGATAAGGCTGAAGAAATTGGCCTTGTTTACCTTGGAAAAGAGTAGACCGAAAAGGGAGATGAGAGCAGCTTTCAAGTATCTAAAAGAGTATCATGAGGAGGAGGAGGAAGAAAAATTGTTCTGCTTGGTCTCTGAGGTTAGGATGAGAAGCAATGGGCTTAAATTGCAGCAAGGGAGGATAAAGTGGACATTAGGAAAAACTTTCTGCCTGTCAGGGTGGTTAAACACTGGAATAAATTGCCTAGTGAGATTGCAGAATCTCCATCACTGGAGATATTTAAGAGCAGGTTAGACGGACACCTGTCAAGAATGAGCTAGGGCAACTCAACTTTGAAAGACCCAGGCGCCACACTGATACTTACAGAAGATGCTGAGGGCCTCAACTTAAGTGTGGTTGCATATGCAAGCAAATATATACAAATAGCTTCTCTCACACTGACAGGCATGAATACAAAGATTAAAGGCAACACAACACACAAGCCCCGTTTAAGTCAGTTCTGCTGATATTAATAAAATGCAATATTTACCTGATTTCTACCCATGTGACAGCACTTTTCATGAGCAATGACAGTCCAAGAATTTAACTATTAAAACACATATCAACAGACGATCATTACACTGACTACTTTTTTGTTTCGGCTCCCACTCACCAGCCATGTATTGATCCCCACATAAACCCAAACTGCACCGCGAGGCACAAACAAACTGGCTGTGGGCAGCACAACGAGTTAATAAATACTTTATAAACCTTTACCTTTTATCTCTGCTGCCATGTCTACTCTCCTTGCTCCATCATCTCCCCTGGTGCCTGCTGCCCCCCAACTCCTCACCCTCCTCTGCTGTCCTGATTCCTGCCCTTCTCACTGCCCTCAGCCCTCCTGCGACCTGCCCCCCTCCACCAGCGCTTCTCTCCCCCCTGTGCCCTCTCCTCCAGTAGCCCCACTCTGATCATGTGAGCTAACCCACCTCATCCCCTCTTCCAACACCTCCATCTACACACCTGCCCTGCCTCTCTCCTCTGGTGCTGGTCCCTCCCCTGCAAGTGTCTGCCCTTCTGCTTCACCCCCAGAATCCCCTGGCACCTGCACCTTCCTTTAGCCCTGCACCCTCCTGGTGCTTCCCCCTTCTCCTACTGCCCCTGCCCCCTTTGCCCTCTTTTTCCTTTATACCCACCCCCTCACCACTCTTTGCCCCATCCCCCTCCTGCCCCTCTGTGCCCTCACACATGCCATGCCCCATCCCCACCCTTCTCATGCCCACCCCTTCTTTCAAGCCTTCTCCCAGCACCTTCCCCTTCCTCTCCCCACTCTAGACCCTAATGCCCTTCCCCTCTCCTCTCCCAGCATTACCCTGTCCCGCCTCCCACTGACACCTCCCCTCCTGCCCTTTTCCTCACTGTCTGAACTTGGCCCCCTGGCATTTGTATCTTCCCTCTCCCTTCCACTTCCGCACAAGCTGCTCCCCTCCCCTCCCCCCTCCCCTCC